TCCTAAAGATGCCACGGAGTTGTCCTTAACTGACTAGGGGAAGGCTGTGGGTGCATAAGGTTTCTAGGGAGAAGATGGGAGAATTTTAATCAAGGCTTAATAGCTTTCATTTTGTTTCCCTTGTTTTAAGAACTACACTTTTGATCAGTCTTGACTTTTTCTTTTTTTCCATTCCCCAACTCATTCCCAAAATTTAAAAAGGGAAAAGTGAGGGTGGCCTGGGGACCCCCCAATCTTGCAGTCGGTGTCTGAGGTGAGGTGAGGATGGTCTTGTGGAAGGTCATGTCCCTCTCCTCAAGTTTTGCCAACTCATTGCAGAAGGGTCTGGCCATCTGCCTAAAATAACACCATTTCCTTGCAGGTTGCAGTGGAGTGGGGGTGGGGGGGATATGAATTTCCACCACAGATACTAGGGAACAGTACTGTATTTATCTGAAATCCAACTACTCCTGACCCAAGGCTTCCGCGTGTTCAGGGAGGGTGGCATTCATGTTCGGTCATAACTCAGCTTCTTATTTTTAGTCTTGTACAAAGGTCATGGGACTCCTCTACAGGAAAACATGTTTGAGGGGGCCTTCTGGCCTTTCATCTATGCCCTCGGTCCAAGCCTGTGGAACCGCCCCCAAGGCTGGCAAGACCACCATTTCTGTGCCAGGCTTCAGTGCGGGTATCTTGCTTCGGATTGGCTGCTCCATAGTCAGGATCCAGCCTCCCTGGGTTTTGCCCACATCACCAATCCTCAGGAACCCCAAACCATGTCTCCAGTCTTGGGATAGCTTCATTTCCCAGGGGATGGGCACTGCTGCCACCTCCCCCTTTCGAGCTCCTTCCTCCACCAACCCTCCCAGAAGGTCGAATGTCATCTCCTTTCTACAGGCCCTTTAGAAACAGTGCTGGCCTCTCTTCTCTGTGGGTGGGTGTGACCCTGGAGTTGCGCAAAATGGCAGCCCTGTGATGTTCCATTCCTCTCTGCACCGCCTACTTCTCTCTCCTACCTTTGCATGCCTCATGCCCTTCCTTCCTCCTGCCACTCCAGCCATCACGCATCTCTATAAAAATGTCAGAGTCCCCACCGAAGCCCCTTTTTATAAATTGCTAAGTACACAGTTCCCAGAGTCTGCTGACTATCAAAAGCCTTTCTTCTCCAGAGTTTCTGCTGACTCGAAGAGGGGAACAGAGGACTTTGGTCTCACCATTTGTTGACTCCTCTGGGGGCAGGAGCGGGAGGCTGGGGTTGGCTGAACAGTGGGGGGTTTCCATGCCAGACAGCGGCTGGTCTCGTATCAGTGTATATGAAATCAAACATTATCTCCAGCCACCAAGATTAATTTCCTTCTGAAAACATTCCCCCCTATCTGCATGGGAAATTAATATTTCTCCAAGTCACAGCGTTTTGACTGAATTTCATGAGAACCAGTAACCCTGACCTTATTATGCTAAGGGAACATTAAAGGAATATTTCCCCTCCCTGCTTGGGATCACATTACAAAGACTTCTCACATGGGCAGCTCACAGTGAAGGGGCAAATGGCTTGTGTGTGTGTGTGTGTGTGTGTGTGTCCCTGGCTACGGAAGGGGCAGCGGTCAATCCTGTTTGACCACAGATACACTGTACTGGCGCATAGTAAGGGCCTAATGACTGGAGATGCTACGATTATTTGTAGCTAATTACACATCTAACAGACATTCTTCCCATTTTTCCTTAGCAACAGAATCTTGATCCTGTCTAGAATAAAGGTATTTCCTCATTTCTCTTGCAACTAGGGGTGGCCATGTGACTGCATTTTGTTCCATGAACGGTAGGTAGACATACTGTACAGGCCTCGAGGAGCCTGGGAAGCCTGCATCAGGTAAGCATCCCACTCTTGATTTCGGCTCATGTCCTGGTATCAGGGTCCTGGGATGGAGCCCTGCACGGGGGAGTCTGCTCATCTCTTACTCACGCTCTCTTGCTCTAATACTTAAATAAATCTTAAAAAAAAAAAAAAAAAAAGAAGACTCAGCTTTTAGCTCAGTTCTGACACTAACTACCCAGGCTTATTGCAGACCCCATAGGTTAAGGGCTTAGTCCCTTAAGACGGCCCCCATCTCAGATGCCACTCACAAGTATTGGGGTCCCAGGGTACCCACACTTCTGTCCGACTTGGCTTCACATCAGAAGCTCCCATGCATGACTCCATCCTCAGTTTCGAACATCTGTTATGATAGCTCCCAGGATTCAGGGACACACTTTACTATTACTGGTTTATTAAAAAGTATGTGATAAAGGATGCAAACAACCAGTCAGAGGAAGAGGTGCCTAGGGCGGGATTCGGAAGGGTCCCTACCACAGGAGGGGTGCCTGGGTGGCTCAGTGGGTTAAAGCCTCTGCCTTCGGTTCAGGTTATGATCCCAGAGTCCTGGAATTGAGCCTCAAATCAGGCTCTCTGCTCGCCAGGGAGCCTGCTTCCTCCTCTCTCTCTCTCTCTCTCTCTCTCTCTCTCTCTCTCTCTCGCCTGCTTCTCTGCCTACTTACTTGTGATCTCGCCAAGGAGCCTGCTTCCTCCTCTCTCTCTCTCTCTCGCCTGCTTCTCTGCCTACTTACTTGTGATCTCTGTCTGTCAAATAAATAAATAAAATCTTATTTAAAAAAATAAGAAAGGGTCCCTACCACAGGAGCTTCTGTCCCCGTGGAGCAGGGGGGCACGACTCTCCCAGCACAATCCTGAGTTCACCAACCGGCAAGCTCTCCCAACTCTCTCCTTTAGGATCTTAACGGAGGTTTTGTGACAGAGGCGGCATTGATTAAAATCACTGGCCATTGATTAACTCGGTCGGCAACCCCTCCTCCCTCCTTAGAGGTCAGGGGTGGGTGGGAGGGCCTGAACTTACTTTCTTTCTTTTTCTTTTTTTTTTTTTTTTTTAAAGATTTTATTTATTTATTTGCTGAGCAGAGACCCTAATGCAGAGGTGGATCCCAGAACCCTGGAATCATGACCTGAGTTGAAGGAAGACACTTAAACCCGAGGCCTGAAATTTCTAATCCTCTAATCTGGTCCTGGTTTTGTGGGTGGTGAGCCCCCACGGTGCCCCCCCACCAGCCATCAGCCACCTCATTAACATACAAAAAGACAATTTCATCCCTCCAGAGATTCCCAAGATCTTGGAAGGTCTTAAATCTAGAACAGGGACTAAGTTCAAATAGTGGAACAAAAGATGCCGCTATCACCCGTCATCCATTTTACAAGGGCTCAGGTGCTCTGTGCCAAGACCCAGGGACGAAGTCCAAATATATACTCCTTAGCTCATCAGTATCATGGAAACCTCCACTGTGTGGTGGTCAGGTCTGCCCTGCAGGGGTGCTCTTCTGTCCGCAGCCTGCCCCATGCCCAGGGAGTCAGTCTGGTGGTTGCCTTTGGTAAGTGGAGAGACCAGCAGGAGATAGGAGCGTGGTAGGGGTGGAGGCATTTACTACCTCCTACCTCCTGGCTTGGAGTCACGTGGTTCTGGCCCCTCGGGACAGCCCTCTCCAAAGCGCTGGAGGCCATTCCCACCGCTCACCAGTCCAAGCCCCTGCCCCGATACTCCATCCCTTGGGTTTTTCTACATCTGCTCCCACTTAGGTAAAGAGGCCCTTTATGGAAAGCCTCCCCCACACCATCTCATCTGAGAGTTCCTGCTGTATCCCACCAGGACCATGTAAAATGAAGTAGTGCAAAAGAGAAGCCTTCATTCCACTCTGTCCTCCGGTCTCTGGGTTCCCCTCCTCCTCCCAGAAACAACCAATGTTCCCAGGCTCATTTGTATCTACCCATCCAGAAACATGATCATATGGTTCCTGCTTGCCGATCTGTTTTGGATTGTCAATTATCTGTGAATCTCGAGGCCCACGGATGCCTGTGAGTGGACGTGACCCCAATGCTAGGCTCCGAGGACCCCCAGTTCAGCTTGATTTCCTTCTTGTCCCTTCATTTCCTCGAAAAGGCCCTGTCTCAGGGCCAGGGGTTGGGGGGCGGACACGACACTCGGGAAGCCATGCTTTCTGGAGTGGTTTATGTCCTAGACGGAGGCTGTCACTGATGGGCATTTGTCCCTCAATGTGACAGCTCCCTGGCCTCTGACTCCAGTTCTGACACTCCCTAGCTGGGACACCTGGGGCAAGCTGCTTAACCTCTCTTTGCCTATTTCCTCACCTGTGAAACAGGGATAATACCCTTTAGGATTATTGTGAGGGTTGAAGGAACCAAGAGAGTTAATATGAAGCTCCGCGCAGAGTATGTGTTCAAAACACCAGGTATTTTTATTTTTTCTTTAAAGATTTTATTTCTTTGACAGAGATCACAAGTAGGCAGAGAGGCAGGTGGAGGGGTGGGGTGGGGTGGGGTGGGGAGCAAGCTCCCCGCCGAGCAGAGAGCCCGATGTGGGACTCGATCCCAGTACCCTCGGATCATGACCTGAGCTGAAGGCAGAGGCTTTAACCCACTGAGCCACCCAGGCGCCCCAAAACACCAAGTATTTTTATATTAGGCTGAAAACTAACATTCCATCGATGTCTGCTTGCTGCAGAGACACAACAGCGGTGTATCTCACTGAAGGATCACAACCACCCGGTGAGGACAGCAAATGCTTCTGGGACTTGCCAGGCACGCGGGTCGTACGTAACAGAGCTGGCAAGTTCAGTCTGTGGGCAGCAGCACAGCCTCGCGCTGGGACTGACCCATTAAGTCCAGGCTAACATATTTATCTGTTCTCTTTGATTCCTGGTCCTTGTATTATAGGAAGTATCCCTGGGCTCTGGCTTTTGCTTCTTAATGCACGGATGCCACATCAAACACATCCAAGGAGCTGTGTGAGATCCTTTCTGCGATTTGCTTGATCCTGAGAAAACTGCTCAAGGTCTTGTTCAAAGAAGAGATTCTCTGTCAATTTCTGCCAGTCTGATTCCGGAACAATGGGGGCGGGGCCTTGGAATCCCAAAGTTTTTCAGTGCTGTGAGTTCCTAGGATGAGGCAGAGGTGGAAATTTTTTTTTTTTTTTGGCGTGGAAATAGAGCGCCCTCTGCTGTCCAGGAAGAGGATGACATCAAAGCAGAGGAAGGCGCGCCGGGGGCTGGTCCCTCTCTTCCATGGGTACTTTTCTGACTTGTCTTTGTTCTACCCTTGAGGGTCACTATGCGCCTGTATCAGAACTGGGCAGGGGTAAGGAGAATAAAAAGAAGGCAGGGTCCTCCTGCTCTCACGGAGTTTACAGTCTAGTTTTACTGACAACAAGAAAATTGTAAGAAACAGGTTCAGAAAGCGTGGACTGGGCTCCATCCTACAAGTATTTCCTGGGCGTGTGCTGTGTACAGACTCCAGGAGCATAGGATCAGCATTTACTAACTCCATGCGCCCAGGAATAGACATATCGTGGGTTCTGCCACCAGGTGGGGGTCCAGAGATGAACACTTGAGATGGGGAACAGATAGTAGGTGCTAGCATAGCCTGGGGAGCCTGGCTCTTGGGGAGGGGGGCAGGGAGGAGTTACCACTCAAATAAAAATAATTTTATCTTAGGGTGCCTGGCCGGCTTAGTCAGTAGAGCATGTGGCTCTTGATCTGGGGTGTCCTGAGTTCGAGCCCCACGTTAGACGTAGAGATTACTTTAAAAAAAAAAAGTCATTTTGACATAAAAATTAAGTATTCAAGTTAAACTATTCCAATCTTATAGAAAAGAATAAGCATGAAAGTAAAAATTACCTGAAATTCCACTATTTCACGGTAACTGCGGATATCTCTTTGGAGACCATCTTTCCATCTGGCTCACTGTGGTTTATCCCGACATACCTACAGACACCAAGTCACTTCATTATACACGCAGTGTCTTTCAGAGACTCCTTTTCTTTTTAATTTTTTTTAAAAAGGTTTCATTTATTGGGGCACTTGGGTGGCTCAGGTCATGATCCCGAAGTCCCCAGGATCCCCAGGATCCAGCCCTGCATGGGGGCTCTCTGCTCAGCAGGGAGTCTGCTTCTCCCTCTGACTCTCTCCCCTCTGATGCTCTCTCCTCTCATGCTCTCTCAAATAAAAACAATTTAGTAATAACAATTTTATTAATTTGAGAGAGAGAAAGAGAGCAGAAGTGAGAGACCACAAGTACGGGGAATGGCAGAGTGAGAGGGAGAAGGCGGCTCCCGCTGAGCAAGGAGACCCAAACAGGACCAGATCCCAGGACCCTGACATCATGACCTGAGCCAAAGGCAGAAACTTAACCGACTGAGTCAGTCAGGCGTCTCCCTCTTCCTTTCGACCCTCTCCCTCCCTCCCTCCCTCCTTCTTTTCTTTTTTTTTTTTTAATTATTAAAAGCTTTCCTGAAATATTTTCACATACCATACCATATAATATTTTCATATACTCATCCATTTAAAGTATCAATTTAATGGTTTTAAGATACTGCAACAAAGTTGTGCAACTGTCCCTACAATCTACTTCCCACCCCCAGTTCTGTAGAGCTGTAACTGACATGAAACACTGTACTCGTTTAAGGCATACAATATAATGATTTAGTATATGTACATATTGCAGAATGATCACCACAATAATTTTAGCTAACATCCATCACCTCACATAGCTACGATTTTTTTTTTTTTTGGGGGTTTTCTTTTCTTTCCCTAACCCTACTGTTGGTTTTTTTGTTTGAGGACACCTTTCCAGCCCAGGTAACTGAGGTTGATAGCTTAGGGCGTGTCCTTCCACATCTTTCCCAAACACTCTTATACAGAGAACACCAGAGTTCTTTGCCCTTTGATGGAAAGAGCTTGCGTATTTGGGCCTCACTCAGGATCCACGAATTCACCCAAACCCTCTGAGTGTGGAGACACGAACCTGTGTTTCTAACCCTCAGTCTGGGGCTTCCTGCTGCTTCTGGTCCTGCTCCGGGGAGGCAGGTGAAGGCTCCCGTGGCTGCAGACAACAGTTGGGGTCAGGAGGAGACCATGGAGGATCTTCGGCACAGGCGAACAAGTGGAAGTGTCCAGGTAGAGAAAAGAACTTGTGCAAAAGCATGGGTGTGAGGGAGTTCCAGGTGTGCTCTGGAGATGGCTCACAGTGGGGCTGGGAAGGGGGTGGGCCTGAGGTCCTGATGGCCTTGAATGCCAGAATTAGGGCCTATGAGTCAAATGGGATGGGTGGCAGGGACTCTTATGGGAGGAACTTTTGCAAAAGGAGAGAACTCAGCTTGGCCAAGGGGAGTGGGGCACTCATGTTAATAACCACGTAATGACAATCATTCAGTGCTGGGCTGTGCTTACAGTATGCCAGGTACAGTGCGTGTGTGTTGTTACCTCATCAATCCCCCTAACAAATCATGGGGCAGATGGTATTTTCAGGCCCATTCCAGCGAAGAGGAAACCGAGGCACAGAGATGTTAAGCAAGTTGCCCAAGGTCACACAGCTGGTAAGTGGTTGAGCCAGGCTCAAACTCAGGCAGTCACCGCCGAAGTCTATGCTCCTGACCTGTTTTTTGTTGTTGTTCCTGGGCATTGTAGTCTCTTAATCTACAAAACCAGCTCAAAAGTGATAAGGCTGATAGGCAGAATTACCCAGAAGAACCACCATCAAAGTGATAGTAACAAGTATTTAGAGAGAGCCAACTGCCTCAAAAAAAAAAAAAAAAAAAAAAAAAGAGGAAGCATGGAATAATGCTCAGGGCTTTGATTCTGCCATCAGAGGAATTTGGGTTCAAATCCTAGCTTTGCTATGCACCAGCTGGGCTGCTTATATATCCTCTTACAGCCTCAGTTTTCTCAGCTGTAAAATGGGATAAAAGTACCTACCTCAGGGTGCCTGGGTAGCTCTGTCCGTTATGCCTCTACCTTCGGCCCAGGTCGTAGTATCAGAGTCCTGGGAATGAGTTCAGAGTTCTGCATGGGTTCCTGGCTCAGTGGGGAGCCTGCTTCTTCTTCTCCCTCCACCATTCCCTCCACTTGTGCTCTCTCTGCCGAATAAATAAAATCTTAAAAAAAGTACCTGAGTACTCAACGTGAGGCTGTTGAGGAGTTAAATGAGAAAACGGATGAACAACGCATATACCAGCCACATAAATGAAAGGGGAGTGGAGCTGGGAGGAAGAATGGTCCGAGTTTGAAATACAGGTGGGCCCAGAGTTGGGATGGGGGTAGTAGCTGAATTCCTAGAGAGCGAACTCTGAGACTGGCTGTTGGGCTCCCTCCTGTGCTGTCTCCGATGGCCAACGGGGAAGCCTATGCCTTACCTGAACTCTGCCTTTGCAAATCGCTGCTCGCCCAGGAGAGAATAGCAATAAAGCTCACAGCCACCACGTACTGAATTATCTACCGTCCCCATTGCGCGAGGATTCGGGCTGCGGAGGATTTTTTGAGCGGTCCACAGCGACACCTGCCGGACAACGAGCGAAACTGCTAGCTCAAGGTAGTTCGCAGTTTGGATGTTGGAGCTTCGTTCCTTTGGAGGATTTTGTGGTTTATGGCAGTTCTGATAAAAAGCCCTTTATCATACGAAAATTATTGTGGAACAGGAAATGAGGGTGGTAATGCCCAATCTAATCCCAAGGGTTGATCTGTGTAGAGTCCAGCAAGCTCTCATTCCATTATTATGTAGTTACGATTATTCAAGAAGGAACTAAAATACTTTTTTCTTTCCATTTATGTGTATTTTTTCAAGTGGCCTCTAAGCTGTTAGGACATAAATATTTAAGAGTTGTTTTGATCTAAATACCCACTAAACCTGTTAGGTTTTATTGGGGGAACTGTTTGTTGTGCAGGTGGGAGCACAAGGTGCTTTAGAGACACTGGGTGCCTTGGACCAAGTAAGTCTGGGATCTGCATCATGCTTGTTACAAAAAGTTGTCTTAAGCAACCCTACCTCTGTTTTATAGATGAGTCAAGAAAGACTAGCTCACGTGCCTGAGGCCCGCCAGGGAAGGGGCTGGGGGTTGTGTATGGGGACCTTGACATTCAAACTAGGTCTGTGTCATTCTCTAGAAGGCAAACGACTCCTGTTTAGATTTGTCTCCTGACTGGGGGAAGCGCAGCCTCTTCTGCTTGCGGAGAAGTAGGTCACGTTCTTGATGTGTCCCTTCTTATTCATATCCTAAGGAGGTCCCCTACTCAGGGGACCTAGGACAGCAGCCTCTGAGCGTAGTGGGAGCAGAAGCTCCCATTAGGCTGTACTTCTAACCCTCAGGCAAATGCACCTTCAGTCTGGAGTCCCAGGCTTAGCCACCCGGCTGCGGGCGGGCTCAGCAGTTAGATTTCAAACGCAGGCAGCGGAAGAATCCAGGCCCCTCCCTTTTCCCCTCCCTCGGGTTCCCTTTTCTAGGTGAAGAGTCACCGCGGACCCCTCTGGGCAGCGGGCAGCCTCCTGTAGGGGATAGATAGCAGGTAAGAGACCAGTGAGACCGTGAAGGGACCGCCAGTGAGCTGCCTGCTCCTCAGAGCAACTTGCATCGGAGGAAAAGCACTGGGGGAGAGAGGCAGACTATTGGCTCTCGGGGACTCTGGGCAAGTCATTTAACCCCTTGGAGCCTCTGTTCCCACCTCCCCACTCCCCGCAGATGGAACAGCAGGACCTACTAGGTGGAGTTGTTCTGAGAATTTAATACATCCCTAACGCTTATAAATGGCTCAATATGCATGGTCTGTTTACAGTGAAATTTAGCTGTCTATTCCTTGTCAACAAATAATTATTGGCCACCCCCTATGTATATACGAGGCAATATTCTAACCCCTGGGAATACAGCAGTGAATAAGACGGAGGAAAAAGCCCTGCCCTCAGGGGGCTTAATACACTGTAGCAGAGGGAGACTGACCCTAAGTAACGCACACAACACAGAAGTCAATTACAGAGCCTAGGTCAGACAGAAATAGAGGAGCCACATAATATAATTTACAATTTCCCAGCAGTACCGTTACAAAAGTAAAAAGAAACTGGGGAGATGAATTTTTCTAATTTTTCATTTAGAAAATTTTAGATTGTGTTTTAAAAACATTCGCTCTCTCCCAATACACCCAAAATATGGTTTCACCCAGAGGCATTAGCCACATTTTAAGTACTCAGTAGCCACATACTGTGGACCGTGTTAGAAGGTGGAAGGAAGGGGCACCTGGGTGCCTCAGTCGGTTGAACAACGGACTCTCGGAGTCTCAGTTTTGGCTCAGATCATATCTCTGGGTCGTGAGATCCAGCAAGCCCCACGTGCGGCTCTGCGCTCAGTGGGAAGTCAGCTTCAGTTTCTCTCCCTCGGCACCCTCATCTCTAAAATCAATCAATCTAAAAAAAAAAAAAAATAAAGCAAGAAGGGGAGTGGAACAATAAAGGCATAATCCAGGGAAAGCAGGACTGGAGCCCCAGGTAATGGGGGCATCAGATTAACAGACAGGGAAAGCAGTTGCTTGCAGTTAAGCAGCGCCCCTTGGTCTGTGCTGGCCTGGCTCCCCAAGGAGTGTTTTCTGGCCAAGGGCACATTTTCCTCTTCTGCTGCCAAGTCATGACCCGAGTTCTGCAGAGCCCTGAGGTGCACCCCCTCACCACCACCCTGCTTACTCCCGGAAATGGCGGCACTCCTCCTGGGCACTGAGGGCCACCCCAGGGGACAAATTTCAGGAATTTTGTCAAGGATCTGACTGGAACAGGGAAGAGGGGTGTGTGTGTGTGTGTGTGTGTGTGTGTGTGTGTGTGTGGCGTTCTTGCACAGGGCTGGGATTAGGGGCAAGGCAAGAGGGGGTTGTAGCCTGTCCTTATTTTAAAATTGTGGTATTTTATGAAATCCTGCCGTTTGCAGTGGGTGTGCATGGATGGAACTAGAATTATACTAAGCAAAGTCAGTAAGAGAAAAGACAATTGTCGTATGATCTCACTCATATGTGGAATCTGAAGAACAAAACAGAGGATCATGGGGAAGGGAGGGAAAAACGAAACATGAGGACAAGAGAGGGAGACAAACCATAGGAGAAGAGACTCAATCTCAGAAAATAGACTGAGGGTTGCTGGGGAGTGGAGGGGAGAGAAGGGATGGCTGGGTGATGGACACTGGGGAGGGTATGTGCTATGCTGAGTGCTGTGAATTGTGTAAGACTGATGATTCACAGACCTGTACCCCTGAAACAATTACTACATTTTATGTTAATGAAAAAAAAGTCAATTGCTCCTAAAATTACTGGGACTGTATGCATATATCAAATTATCACATTGTATACTTCAAATATATTGCAATTTTATTGGTCAGTTATACCTCAATAAAGCCAAAGCTATGTAAAAAAAAAAATTGTATTTTAGGGGCACTTGGCTGGCTCAGTTGATGGAGCATGGAACTCTCGATCATAGGGAGTCAGGGGTTCAAGCCCCATGTTAGGCATAGAGCTTACTTAAAAAAATAAAATAAAATTTTAGTATTTTGTTCATCAGAGACTTAAGATTTTATTTGACAGAGATCACAAGTAGGCAGAGAGAAAGGAAGGGAAGCAGGCTCCCTGCTGAGCACAGAGCCCGATCCCAGGACCCTGGGATCACGACCTGAGCCGAAGGCAGAGGCTTTAACCCACTGAGCCACCCAGGCACCCCCATCAGAGCCTTAAAAAAAAAAAAAGAATTATTTATTTGCCAGAGAGAGGAAGGGAGGGCACAAGCAGGGAGAGCTGCAAGCAGAGGGAGAAGCAGGCTTCCTACTGAGCAAGGAGCTGGATAAGGGACTCGATCCCAGGACCCGGGAACTAAGACCAGAGTAGAAGGCAGATGCCTACCCAGGCGTCCCTACCAGATATTTTTGCCTGAATTTAAAAATCATATTCTACTGGCTCTTGTATCATAAAATCCACCCTGTAAAGTGCTCAATTCATCGGTTTTTAGTTATTCTCAGAGTTGTGAGACATCACCTAGTCAATTCTAGAATGTTTTCATCATCCCGACAGAAATCCTGATACCCATGAAGCAGTCCTTCCCCCTCCCCAACAATGCCCCACCCCACCTCCAACCAGTCATGGACTTTGTATAGATTTGCCGCTTCTGGACATTTCCTAGAAGTGGAATCATAGACGGCCTTTTGCAACCGCTTCTTTCACTGCACACAATACTTTCAAGGACCACTTATGCTGTAGCGAGTATCTGCCTTTCCTTCCTTTTTATGGCCAAATAACATACCATAACGTACCATAACATACCATAACACACCATGGATTCACTATATCTTACTCACACAACTGTCCATTGATAGATATTTATGTTTTCTCCCCACTTTGGTTATCATGAGTAATGCCGCTATGAACATTCACATGCAGGCTCTTGTGTGGGTATGTTTTTAATTCTTTTTTGAGGTTTGCATTAATTTTGTTTTTTACTATATTGTATAAAAATACAGTTTTTCTCAATTACTGAGCTCTTTTTTTTTTTTTTTTAAGATTTTATTTGACAGAGAGAGAGATCACAAGTAGGCAGAGAGAGAGGGGGAAGCAGGCTTCCCGGTGGCCAGAGAGCCCAGTGTGGGGCGTGATCTCAGAATCGTGGATCATGACCTGAGCTGAAGGCAGATACCCAGGCACTCCATTAATTACTGTTTACTGATGCCCCCCTTAAAATGTACACGAGTCAAGTGCCTGCCCGGCCTTGCCTTGTTCCCACCTTCCAAGTTTGGTCCCTTGCTAGCTCTGAGGCTTTGGGCAAGTTCTTTCACCTCTCAGAGCCTTTGGTTTTCTGGTCTGTAAAATGGGGATAATCCCTGTACCTACTCACAGCTCTTAGGGGGATACAATGAGGCAATGTCGTATTTTATAGATGAGCATAGACTTAAGTCAACATGTCTTTCTTACGGGGAGGCCTGGAGGTGAATCCCACACCCAAAATGGTTGTGACCTAGCCCTGACCTTGAGGAGAGCTGGCCCATCTGCCTAGGACCCTTTCCGGCTTTAGTTCCCAAGGGAAACCTGCTCTTTTCGCTGTCCTGTCTCAGCCTGAGCCCCCTACAAAGTCCTCAGGGGCAGGACCCAAAGCTGTTCACTTAAAGTCCTCCGTGGCCCCCCCAGCTCCTTCCATTCTGGCTGCCCTCTCCCCCACCTCCTGCCTCCCCCACCCTCCCCTCTGCCCACTCCCGTTGAAGGCCTCGGCTCCCCGTCCCTCTGCACTGCCATGAGGCCCGCACTTTGCAGGGCTGAAGTCCAAAGTTCAGTCCCTTTGCTAAGCACACGGATAAATATGAACCTTGGAGAATTTCCCCAGCTCCAATGTAAACAGAGCGGGCAGGGGCCCTGATTCACTGGCCGCTGGGGCCGGGGTTGGGGGTTGGGGGTGCCCACAGGGCTTGGTTTGTGGGGTTTGGGGGGGCAGTAGGTGAAAGGAGCCTGGTTTGTGCCTGCCTGCTGGTCGGCCAGCAAGGAGACGGCCCACTCAGTGGGGAAGGCTGCCGGTTTGGTGGCCCTAGGCCTCGTGGCCCCAGTGGTGGCAGAGCCATGGTTTCTAAACTGAGCCAGCTGCAGACGGAGCTCCTGGGGGCCTTGCTCGAGTCCGGCCTGAGCAAGGAGGCCCTGATCCAGGCGTTGGGTGAGCCGGGGCCCTGCCTGCTGGCTGGAGATGGCTCCCTGGACAAGGGGGAATCCTGCGGCGGCAGTCGGGGGGAACTGGCTGAGCTGCCCAATGGGCTGGGGGAAGCGAGGGGCTCCGAGGACGAGACGGACGACGATGGGGAAGACTTCACGCCGCCCATCCTCAAAGAGCTGGAGAACCTCAGCCCTGAGGAAGCAGCCCACCAGAAAGCCGTGGTGGAGACCTTGCTGCAGTAAGGACCCCTCCCCTGTCCCAGCATCCAAGGAGCCCAGGGAGGACCCCCACCCCCGCCCCAGCTCCTGACTAGCCTTTCTTCTGAGCCCAGAGTTCCCCAAGCTGCAGGTTTTAGCCTGGCTGTTGGGGATGGGGCTCACGAGAGCTCAGGGGAATCCCTGCTCCCATCCCGGAGCATCTCAGCCCTCCAGCCTGGCCCTCTGCGAAGTCCCAAGGCCCCACGAGCCAAGGCTTTCAGCCCAGGGCTGGGGAAGTAAGGGCATTCCCCAGGGGAGCTTTGAGATCGGGGAAAAGCAGGCACGTCTAGAATTTACGTGCCTAGAGAACTGGAGAACTAGAGGGTGGGTGGGAATTGTTAGCCACCATGGCCCTTTCCACTCCCCAAACCCTAACCTCCCCGCTAAGCACTCAGATTGCAGGCTCCGGGGCCAGGAAGCATGGTTAGTGAGAAAGAGGGCCGAGGCTGGGGTTTTAGGGGCTCCCTCTGCCACCCAGGGACCCAAGCATTAAGCCAGGAAAGCCCAGATCTTACCTGAGGGAGATGGAACCTCAGGGCAGGACCTGTTCCCCTTTCCTACACAGCCTCAGCCCCCCCCCCCCAGTGGTGTGTGCCAGTGAGGTCTCCCCATTGTGCACCCCCATCCACTGGCTGGCTCCCCAACTCCCCTCCCGGAGAACTGGGTGGGTCTGAGCCCGCTGCCTCCCCTCTCCTCAGCAAAGCTGACCTGGTTACTAATTACCCACGAGCTTTATTATTTCTCTTTTGTTTTATAAATTTATAAACGGTAAAAGGCTCTGATAAGGCCTGTGATCATTAACTTGTAAAGATGGTGACCTGGGGAGGCCTGGGCCAACCAACCTCTTACCCAGCAGGAGTGGGAGGGGTAGGGGTCTAGGGGTTGCAGAGACCGCCCTCCCCAAAGGCTCCTAAACTGGAATTCTAACAGTCCGACCCTGTGCTGGGGTTTCACATGCAAATGGTCGGAGAATGTCAAGATGAATGCTGGAAAGAAGCTGGGGATAACTGCCTCGCAGATGAGGAAACTGAGGCCCAAAGAGGGGAGGTAGCTTGACTAAGGCCACCCAGCTGGGACTCCACAGCCACTCTGTTTGGTCTCTCAATTGCCATGACTGGGCAGTGGGAGGAAGAGCCCCAAAGAGGCTCTCTACCGGACTATCTCTTTTCTGTCCAAGGTCCTGATCCCAGCTTGGGGTGGGGGGAGGCCTCAGGGTCTGCCCAGACTTGTGAGGGCCTGGGCAGGGGGCAGGAGAGCAGCCAGGGCCCCCCTGACTTGGCAGGAAGAAGAGGGCAAAGGGCCCTACTGGGCTGCAGGGGAGGGGCAGAGTCAGGTCTTGCCAGACCCAGAGCCAGGGCGACCAGGACAGGGTGGGGCTGCGCCAGACCTGCTCCGGGTCCCAAATGGGACTGGGGGCTTTCCGGTGGGAGTAGGGGCAGGGGGTACCAAGGGCCTTTCTTACCTGGCTGGGTGGGGCCTCTGGATCAGCAGCCCCTTTGGTGGAATGGTGGGTTGGGGGTGAGGCTTCATCCACAGCACCTGAGGGGGGAGCAGAGGTCAAAGTGCTCCCTGGGGACCAGCAGAGACCTGGAAGCTGAGGGAGAGCAAGGATCCACGGAGGGAGAGAGAGAGAGAGGGGCATGGGGGGAGATGGAGAGGCCTGGAGAAGCCCAGGGGAGCAGGAGAGCCCGGAGGGCAGAGGGGCTCCCTCCCAGCTGGGAGAAGGGGCAGGGGAGAGAGTGAGGCACCCCAAGCTGCAGTAAGGCTAGAGTGCTTTCTGCCTGCCCGGATTGGGTTTTCTTTAATGCTAACAGCATGCTATTTACTTTCCATTTAAATTTGAGATGTTGCTATAAATTATCAACCAGCTCCTTGTTCCTGCGGAGTTTATAACTAACTACCTGGGTTACTTATTGTTCAGGTAACAAAAGGGATCTGAAAACGCCCCGAGGGGGAAAAAAAAACGGGGCTCTACCCTCTGGGCACAGGAGGGAGTCGGGGGTGGGCACCCCTGATGAAGGCCTGGACAGCCCTGGGTTGGAGAGGTTAAGGCTGGAAAGGATGGTTCAGGGGCAGGGTTTCCCGTGGACGCCATTTCTTTGGAGAAGACAGTGGGAAGAGGCTGGGTGGGTCCTGGGGGCCTCCCCACTGGGGTGCTTCATGCCTGAGGTCACAGCAGGAACCGAGCTCTTCCCTCAGACTTCCACCCTTCATTCAGTGTGTGACCTTGGGCAAGTCTCTTGTCCTGCCTTAGTTTCCCTAGCTGGCCAATGACTAAAACTCAAATTCCCTGCCCTGATTCCCTGATCTCTTCTTGCAGGCACTCTGCCCCTTATTCACTTTCTTCTAGTTACATGGAATTTGCTGATTCCCACCATAGGGCCTTTGCGTGTGCTACTCCTTCTGCCTGGATACTTCTTTCTAGATCGTCCCATGACCGATTCCCTCTCCTCCTTTTGCTCCCTCCCTCACTACCGCCATGTAAATGTAGTTCCCACTACACTCCCTCTTCCACTATCTTCTGTTACTTTCTCTTGTCCCTTAACGGTACTTAAGATGATCTGTTTTTGCCTGTTTTCTGTCTCCTGCCATGACATCAGTTTTTCAAAGGGAAGGCCAGTGTGTCCTTGTTCACCACTCTTACCCCTGATATCCAGACCAGTGGCTAAAACACAGCATGAATTAATCAGTGGCTAGGATTCCCTGAAGCCCTAGGGACATCTGCTCTTATGGCCAAGGGAGCATCCTGTACCAAGGGCTCCTTCCTTGGTGTCCTCCTGGGTCTTCCCTGCCCCTGAGCAGCTCAAACTTCAACCTGAGGGACTCTGATCCTCTCCAACAGGTAGCACCAGGGCATCCAGACCCAGGAAGACAATGGGCAAGGTGGGACAGTCTAACATCCGTGACTGAGGCCAACCTCCATGGGTTCAAATCCCAACTCAGCCCCACCCTAATTTCAGCACCTGATTTCACATCTTTGAGCCCTTGTTTCATCTGCAAGGCAGAGACGATATAACACCCACAGGGTTAAATAGCATGTAAGTGCGGTAAACTGTTGCTATGAGCAATAGTCCCATTTTGCAGATAAGCAAACTAAGGCTTAGAGAGGCAAAGTGACTTGCCCAAGGTAATTTACAAAGTGGTAAGGCGGGGACTTGGACCCGGGTCCTCCTAGTCCCACGCTCTGCAGCATCCTTGAGGCTGCCTGCAAGGATAAATCCTTGATAGGTTTATTCCCCTTTTTATCCTCCGGAGTCATTCTCCCTGTTAACCTCACATCCACTCCCTTCCACACGGTGCTCTAGAGCTCATGGAACTGCTTACAAATGCGCTAAACTTCTCTTCTCCTGGCAACCTATGAACTTTTTTAGCCCTGTATCACAGTTGGGGAAACTGAGGCACACAGAGGTGAAGCAATTTGCCAAGGTCCTAACTGCATGGATAGTGAGTGGCAGAGCTCCAATTCAACCCGAGATGGGAAGCTTCTCTGCACCACCCCCTCCAAGCACGGAGAAGTCCACTGTCCCTCCAGACGTGTGGCCCTTCTGGCTGGTCTCCGAGCTCCATAGCCTTGGACCCTCTGAAACCCCAGGGGCCAGCAAGCCAAAGGCCCAGAGTCTTGAAACTCTGCCTGACCCCTCCCAGAACCCGTAGGAGGTGGGAAGAAGAGATGTGGGCCAATCTTTACCTCTTCTGGGCCCTCTTCCCTCTGCGGCAGGGCTGGGGGTCCCATGGCCACATCATCCGTGATGGTGATGGTGGTGACAAATTGTTTTTTTTTTTACTGAGCACTTACTATGTCCCAGGCCCTGCTCTATGTGGTTCACTCCTATCTGAAACTCAGTCGGTCCTCCCACGGGAACCGTGAGTGTGCGGGGCACACATGCAGGACATGCTAGGGCGCCATGCTGGGATGGGAAGCCAGGTTGGCTAGACTCTTAGACCCATTAGAGGGAAAGCAGGGCTACCTGGAGACGTGGCCTGTTAGTTCTGGGTTGGGGCAACTGTCCTGGAAAGTCAGGTGTCTGGAGACTGAGGGTGACTGACTGAGTGAGTGTGTGTGGTGGGGAGTGGGTGGGAGGAAGGGACAGAGCGAACAGCAGAGATATACACACAGACAGGAGAGACAGAGAAGGAGAGAGCCAGGCAGAGAAAAAGTAGGGGAGACACACACACACACACACACACACACACACGGTGTCAAACGGACAGTGATGAGACAGTAAGTCTTCAGTTTGAGCTGGGAGGCCTGGCTGAGAGGGAGACTGAGCTCATTCTCTCTCTAGGGGGAAGGGGGAGGGGAGGGAGGGAGGGTTGCTCAGGATGGTGATGCCTGGGGCTAGGGGGAGGGGGGAGGCCATCCCGCAGTCGCTCCAGAATCAGATAAACATGTTTGCCTGGAAGCAAAGGCTGGACTTTGTACTGCCCTTCCCTCCAGGCTCTGACTTGCACCCGGGGAGCAGAGGAGGGGTGGAGAAAGAGGATCCTAGGAGCCCCTGAATGCAGGGAGGAAGAAGAGCTCAGGGAGAGCTGGGGGGGGGGGTGGATCTGGGCAAAGCAAAAGATTCTGGAGTCCCAGCTAGGTCACTTTGGACAAGTGCTCGCCTTTCTGAGGCTCAGTTTTCTCATCTGTGAAACAGGCACACAAGTCGTCCCTACCTCGCAGGGTTATGGTAAGATTTACATGACCAGCCCTTAGCACAATGCCTGGTTCATGGGAAATACTCAAGAAACAAGGATTCTCACATCTATCATTTCTACACAGCTGGGATTTTGCCGTACGATCGCTGACCAATTCAGATCCGACCCTCCCTGTCTCCCTTTCCTACCCACGTGTATGGGAACTGCTGATAAAAAAGAGGGAGTCACAGGGCAGGGCTGCTGAAAGGCTCTGGGCTCTCCTACCGGAGAAGGGTAGTGTCAAGGAGGCGAGGCGAGGCTGGCCGCTTGGGACGGAGAGAAGAGGAGAAGGCGGTACGGGGTGGGCTTCAGAGTACTGGGGGTTTGTTTGCTTTCTGTTTTTTTCGCAGTTGAGTTTTAAATGTTCTATATGCATGTATTGCCTATTGTCTAACATTATATTACATTATTTGAAAAGCACAGAAAAGCAGCAGAGGACACGGTCCCTCTGCCCCTGTCCCCAGCACCCTATTCCCATCTGGAGTCAATTGATGTCGCTAGTCTCTTCTGTGTTCTGGGATCTCACGCAGACCCAAGGAAACACGCCGGACTCCTTTGTGCCATTTCAGATTTTACAGCAACAGCATAGCAGAGCCAGACTCTGTCCCGTCTTGGGGGGGCCAGCAGGGCTTCCTCAGGGCGTGTTTATGGGAGTCAGGGCGTGTTTATGGGAGCATCCACTTGAAGCAGCACCCTTTCTGCCGGACACTCAGCTCATTTCCGCTATTTTGCTGTGGCAAGCAACACAGCAACGAGCGGCCCCCTACGTGGGCTACTCATCACACGTGCAGATGTTGGAAAGCTCAAATTCTTAGTGGCAAAATGCTCAGTCAAAGGGAAGAGGACCTCAGGCTTTGGAGCCACACAGAGCTGGGGTCAAACCCCAGCTTTGCCCATTTCCAGCACTGCTGCACTCAGCTGTTTTTCTTTGCCTCCGTATTTGTAACACAAGCTCTGGAGAGGAGGGTGATGGAACAGCAGAGGGAGAGAATCAGACACCCTACCCCCACTCCCCACCGGGGGCAGCAGACGGGAACATGAATCATGGATGGTTGCAGGTCCCTTGAGTCTCTTGGTGAGAGAGTCTTAGCCCACAGAGTGAGATCCAGGGGTTCAAACACACACAATATATGTATTTTTTGCAGGGAGGCTCTGAATACCAATCTGTAACTCCTTCATCAGGAACTGCCCCCCGCCCCCGCCCCCCACCAGTCTGTAGGGAAACTGGCCAGGGCACAGTCTAAGTTTTGGTATAGATTATCAGAAGGTGGTTTTTTTTGTTGTTGTTGTTGTTTGTTTTGTTTTGAAAGATTTTGTTTATTTATTTGACAGAGAGAGAGAGATCACAAGTAGGCAGAGAGGCAGGCAGAGAGAGAGAGGAGCAAGCAGGCTCCCCGGTGAGCAGAGAGCCTGATGTGAGGTTTGATCCCAGAACCCTGGGATTATAACCCGAGCCGAAGGCAGAGGCTCAACCCACTGAGCCACCCAGGTGCCCCGAAATGCATCTTTTTAAGATAAGACTTTCTGTGATTTTTACCTGATAGGCTGACTTAGAACGGAATCCCTTCAGGCAGGAGGGGACTCTGCTGGGCTGGCTCTGTGACCTTGGGCAAAAGATACAACACAAGCACTCTTAGCCTCAGTGGCCCTAGCTATAATGTGAGAGAGTCATGTTTCTCTCCTTGTTTTCAGACCCATTTTTTCCCCAGGAGGTCTCCTTCAACCATCCATACATCCATCCCCCTAATAACCTACCCATCTACCTCCGGTTCATTCATCCCCCGCCATCCCATTTACCTGACCTCCACCCACGCACCCTTCATTCACTCCTGCATTCACCACGGGCAAACATTCTGCCAGGCCTAGTTTGGGGGCTGAGAATCGGATGGCTCCTGCCCTCACAGTGTGTACAGCTCTCTCACAGTGGATAAGACATAACCACAAATAACATTTCTAGGTAGGATGGGGGGAGGATCTTTAAAGGAGGCACAAAGGTGAGGGTCTTCCCTCTCTGGCTTGTACAGCTTCTGGCGGGAGTCTGTTCGTATCTCCAACTCTGTCCCTATGAGCCGGCATGAGTGCCCTTACCTTGCTGTCCTGGAGTCTGAGTGTAGGTCTGGGGCTCCACACCTGCTTCCGTCCA